TGTGCAGTAAATTGAAATTTGAGCATTAGAATTTTTGCAGAACGAGAATATCGGGCTTCGTTTTTAATGAAGATGGTCCTATTTTTGTAAAATTTACTGCTGTTTTATTCACCGATTTTATTAAAAGTTGTTGAAATGGAATGTTATTACGGTAAGAACTCCCAGATCCACACAAATTGAATGTAATACAAGAGTTTAAACTATGGTATCATTTTATTCAATCTACATAATGAATTTGCGTATTTACTTTTACCATATAGTCTGAGTTTCTACCAAAAATTTAATTATTGTTGTTTTTGTTAAAAGTTCGGCAAAATACTTATGTATTTGATGCATATCTATAAAAAATACAAAGAAGTCATTTATCAACAAAAATATTTCAATATTTCAAATGGGTATAGAAGCTGAGAGGTTAAAAATATTAAAAAAGGGTTTTAGAAAAAAATAAATGAAATTTTCAATAGACAGACTAATTTTTGAAAATTAATTTATTGAAAATTTTTAAGGATTGACAATGAAAATTCTTGACATCAATATTATTATATTGTGGGTATTCGAGTTTACAGCAGCACGTGTACAAGTTATTAAAAAAATTAATTCTATTTCATGAATGTGATTAAAATTTTTAAAAAACTTGAGATATTTTGGTATTATCTTGTCATGAACTTTTTATATTTTGTCTAGAACTAAAATTAAAGTTAATTAAATTTTAATCATTTTGGTCATCAAGTTAATAAATTTTTAAAAAGAATTTTGTTTTTTTTTGAGAACTCGGCTTTATTTAATAAAGATAACTTTAATTTGTTCTGTATTAATTTCGGAGTGCGATCTAGTCGAACAAATAAATTCTATAATACAATAACATCTAAGCAACGAACTAAATGTCGAAGGCAGTCTAACAGCAGCTGAAGAAGAGCATTCTAGACAGATACAATTTTTAAAATCTTTTTAAAAGTTGTATAAGTCTTCAAATTCGGATTTAATGTTATAAACAAGGAAATGGTGTAAAGCATTTATATATATGGGGTCTAGAATTAAAAGGATTAGAATTATGTTTTGGAATACAATTAATTTATACATAAATTTTAAAATATTTTAAATGACTGAACTTATTAAAAACTTTGATTAGTTGAATTATTTTAGTTATCGTAAAATATGCTTTTTATATCGTAATATTCTGCTTCCTTAAAATATATTGTGTTTAATGTAAAATTCGTTCTTCTGCTTCTTCTTCTCAAAGGCCGAAATTATAGTCATACAGTTTTAACTTTTGACATTTTTTACAGTATAAATCATGAAGCAGTAACATTATATTATAAGAGATTTTAATTTAATTTGTAATAATTTTTAAAAATTAGATGCTTATGTTCGTTTTATATCCTATTATATAGTTATAAATCCAATACATACCAATTTTAATATAAATTTGATTTTTACGTTAATAAGAATAGCAAATCAGAGCTATGTTGACGTAACAACTTAATAGAATAGAAAATTTTCGTATATACTTAATAATAATTTGATTGAAAATATAAAAATATATATTATTATATATTTATGTATATATATATATATATATATATACATAAAAGTATAGTAGATAATTAATTTTTTAAAAATCGGCTTATTAAAATATCCGCATGATGTAAAAGTAGATTTAAATTGACAATTACATAATAAATTTAATATGTATTTAATAAATATTAACCGAGAACATAAATTTAAGTATATGGATTTTATACAGAAATATTACAATATAATATAGCATACATCTCATATTAGGTATATACATGAGCATATACACATGCATATACATATGAATTAATATTTATATCGGATTATCGATCGGTTTGTTTAATGCCTTTTGAACATTAATGGGTGAATAATTTTTAATGTGGTATATGATTATTAAATATGTATGTTGATACATATTATACAGGTATATAGTATATATATGAATATACATTGTATATAATTGTATGTGATATAAGAAGTAAAAATCGAATCTTAAATGTTAAGAATTTTCAAAAGGCATCTACATATCAACACACATTATTAAATAATCTTAAGTTTAATAAGATATGAAGTTGTTTTAAATAAAAAATAAATTATTAATAAAATTTAATGTTTATACTGTTAGCAGTATTTACCAAACACGCACATACGCCGCTTTCAATTATTAAACTAACAAATATCAGAAAAAAATTTAAGAAAAATCTTTAACTTTAAAAGCAGGGGAGAGAGGACGTATTGTTGTCCCTAAAGTTCTATTTCTATATGACATTTCAGCTTTCCGGCCTAAATTTTTTATAAGAGTGTTAACAGACTTATACAAATGTTTTGTAAACACGAAACAGAGCAAAATATTTAGGAATTTTTTTTTTCCCAATTTTGTTTGGTATGTTTTAAAAATTAGATTCTTACAACCGTAAAATATACAACCGTAAAATATACAAACCGTAAGCACTTTTCAGATTTTTAAAACGGTAAAAGAGATGACTTTTCTCCCCCCCTTTAAAAAATTGTTGGTAAATATCGGTATGTCAAATTAAATTTTCAAACTAACAAAACGCACTAAGACCTTTTTTGAGTTTTTCCTAAAATTGAAGTCGCAATAATATAAAATCCCGTTAGCTGATTCTATGGAACTAAAAATTTGTGTTCAGAAAAGCTTTCTTCATGAAAAATTGTGCCTACTTCTCTTAACTGATTCAACTACCAACTAACCTCTTTAAAGCCCTAAAATGTTTTTTTTTTCCCAAAACAACAATATTATTGAGGTGAAATTTGTTACATATTTTGCAAAACCGTTAATTTTATCGATCGTGTTTTAAGTTTCCCAAACACGATTAACTTAAATCATTAAGCAACTGTTGTCATAATTACGAAAAAACTTAACCAAGTAATTTTTAAATTAGTTTTTTCATTTAAATTTTCCCCTTGAGTACAAAAATCAAAAATTAAAACGAAACCAAAAAAAAAGAAACAACTTGCACTGCAAAAAATCACAAAAATATTGATGAAAAAAAAACTTCCAACTCGTTAACAGAAAATATAACAAATCGTTACCAATTATTCTATAGAAGCTATATGTATGTATTAATGTTCACAATTAGACAGTACTTGTCGATAGTTATTTAACAAAGATTTTTCAAAACTGTGCTCTTAATAATATTGTATACAATTTACTCAATTAACGTTTTATTCTACGCTTACGCAAAATTGATAATTCTACCCAAATTACGGGTAACTCTTCCAATTGGTGTACTTATAACAAAACTAATTAATAACAAACTTACAATAATATTTTTTCAACTTAATATTTCGATATAAATTTGTAAAATACTTAACTGAACAATTAATTTTAAAGAGCACTGTAACTCTAAATAGCTATAACAGATGCTAAAATATAATTTAGTGTTAAAGAAGAAAATTGATAATAAAAAAACTTCAAAGAAAAATAAACTAAAAATTATATAAAATATAAAACTAAACATACAATACATACATACAAACAATTCTGTGTATACAAATTGAAAAAGATCAAAGAAATTAATACTGTAAGTGAGGTTTTAAAAATAGCACACCTTGACATCAATATTTCTCTTATTCACTTTGTTAATTACATGCTTAATTATTTATAAAATTATTTTAAATTAAAATATTAAATTACAACAATGAAATTTTAAAGGAAAAAAAAATTTAGTTGCTAATTTAAAACTATTATACGAGATAATTCTTAATATAACAATATGACAATCTTAATTACTAAAAATTTACAAAGACACTACTCAAATACATTTCTCAATAATTGAAGAAATTTCTTTGTTTGTTCCAACTTCGTGATATCTGTACGTCTGATATCCGTGATATCCGTACGTCTGATATCCGTGATATCCGTACGTCTGATATCCGTGATATCCGTACATACCGCATGGATGTAATAACTTTTAAAGTTAAACGGCAGCTACAGTAAGACGGACGAACAGATGTCCGAACAAACATGGCCATATCAAGAAAAAATTCAACGCCTAGCAAGAATTTTAACTCAACATTAAAAACGGAGTAATAATTTTATAATACCCTACAAACATATGCCCGAACAGGTTTAATGATATAAAAATTAAAAGTTTAGATTTTCTTTTGGAACACGTTAATGTTCAATAAAATCTCTAATGATTCAAAAAGATCGAACAGCAATTTAATATCTAATCGTCGATAATTTAATAGCATTTTATATTATTTTTAATTTCTCTTTGGTAATTGCGATAAATTTCTTTTCGAATTAATCAAAGGATATATCCGAATAACGGGAAGAATATAAATATAAAGTAATGTTCATAGTATATTTTTTATGTATATGTTATACTTAGTATATATTTACTTTAAATGATTAAGTATGTAGTAATATAAAGTATATATATATGTATTCGGTGAATATGATAAAATTGTTGATTTAATTAACACGCATTCAAGTTGAAAAAGTTCATAAAATTTTTAAATGTGAAAAAAAAATTTAAAAATTTTTTTTAAGAAATTCGAAATTCGGGAAATTATCAATTCATTTTATGAAATTATTTTTATACCCGTGATAAGTGTCGAATTCTGAGTCGATTTGCCATGCCGGTCCGCCTATCCGTCTGTTCTTTCGTCCAAGCAATAACTGAAAAACTATTGAAGCTAAGCTCACCAAATTTTCACATATGATTTATAATATTAAATGTCGAAACTCTATTTAAATTGGATGAGATCAAGGTACACTTGATTGGATGTGATTAAGGTACACTTGAAGACGTGTTAGGGAAGGTACCACCCCTCCTTTAAAAGTTATTTGGCTATATCTCAGAAATTATTGAACCTACAATATGGAAATTCGGGATATTATATTTGCTAAAACTGGTTTAACTCTGCAACCCTTCATTCGTACCGGTACTCGTTAATGTTAAAATACATTGAATTTTATTTATTTAATTATTTTTTTATTTTTTTTATATTTGCAGAGTGATGTCTTTGACGAAATCGATTTATCTGATGTTTGCTGTGCTGAATGTGGTACAAAAAACGTAAACCATAGTTTTCAAGTAAGTTTTTCCTTTTCAAAATTATATTACAATAAATTTTATGTTTTAATAAATTCCAAATTAGAATGATGAATATCATTACCTTTCCAAATATTATGTCAATTCATTATGTTTTATGAACGTAATTATGTTCGAATTTGTTATGTTTTAAAAAATTTTAACGTATACGAATTTCGGTGTGATTGCTCTTGATGTTACTGAGACTAATATTAACAGCATGTTGAAAAAGAAGTACAATAAACTCCAGTCAATTGATATGGTTAAGGGCCATTTTGACATAATTTGAATTTTAGGAATTTCTAAACACAATTAAATTCAAAGTGTCTACTTGTGAAGCGAAACGAAAACTGACTTTGTTCCCCTACATTAATTGTAACTTGAAATAGAAAAATTTAAGGATTAAAGCATTTCATTTTACATTATTTTTTTTATCTTTTTTTCTTAAATAAAATAGGTTTTCCTTTTAATTTTTTTCAATATCTACAAGATTTTGGCAACAAAAATTTTTTTAAAGAAAAATAATGTAAAGCAGCGAAACAAAAAATTTTTACCTTATATTTTTTAATAATATTATTCGTAGTGTGTTTGTATGTATAATTTATACTAATATGATTATATGGGTGCGTACATGTGCACGTAAGCACATCCCTATACCTTATATTTTTTTTTTCTTTTGAAAAAGAAAATCTTTTGAAAGTAAGATAATTTTTTAGACACAAAATATTACTTTTACATCCTGTTCGTAAAGCCCATATTTTCTGACCCACTGAATAAATCCTAGCAGTTATACGAGTATGAATAAAACATTTTTGTTTATTCGATGTGCACATCGTTTTTTTTTTTTGTTCTTTCCTTTCATTCTGTTTTTTTTTCAACATTTTCTTTTTTCTTTTTTTGGATATTTTCGAAAGGTAAGTTATAAGGACAAAATATGGAGTATTGGTGATGAACTTTTGCTCGCTTTAATATTATACACTCGAATATATGTATATAAAATTTTTTTTTTAATAAAAGTTAATAAAATGTTGCTGTATCCTCTGACGCCTATCTTCTTGTACGTATTAAATCTTATCTGTATTCTGTTTTGCCAAAAATACATGGGCTCCGAAATATTTTTATTCTCTTTTTCTTTAAACTTTATTCGTTTTTTTTTTGTTTTTTGGAAAAGTTTTAATTCAAGCAAAATGAAGAAGAAAAGAGACAAAATATTATGGAAAAAAAAGTTTTTTTTTTTTTAATCAGCCTTTTATCGATAACTTTAAGGATCATATTTTCATTGAAAATTGTATGTAATTAGAGTGTTACCAGAATTGTCTATATTTCAAATTTACAGGCAATATTTGGAAATTATACTGAATTCAGTATTTATTGATCACAATTAAAATGATCAATAATCGAATAAAATAAAAAGAAAAATATAGGAAGGTCAATATTCGGGTTCAAGTCCAGTTCAGGGAGAAAAATTTTAATAAATTTTTCATTCTAGACTAGTTCCTTTGGTTACGTCATCCATCTGTTTTGCAATTGTATTAAGAAAGTTCCATTAGTTATTCTCATGAGAAATTAATAATAAAATAAACGACTACACGTTGTATTGTTAATTAGTAATAGAAGGGTCATTTATTTCAAGTAATCTAATTTACTTTTCAATTTCAGCCCCTTAATTTCTTTTAATAAATAATCTAAAAGAATTTCTCACTGATTATGAAAAAACTTAATCTTTTGATTGCAATCCCGTTCTTTACAAGGCAGCAGTTAAAACCAGATTCGGTTTTAACGATAAGATTTTAATAAATTCTTGGAACATCTGGTAACATTGATGTCCAAAATTATTAAAGAACGAATATTAAAATTAGCCAAAAAAACAAGCAATTTTTTTTAAATGCTTTATTTAACATAAAGTTTTCCTTAATATTTTTTTGTTCCTCTACTCTATTCAAGTTTTAGGCATTTAATTTTTATAAAATATAAAATGAATTCTTTTTTTTAATCGGAAGTTTGGGTTTCAACAAAAAAAAAACTTTTTTAAATACTCTGTAAAAAGGTATACTTTCCGTTTATGACCTATACTCTACCAAAAATCAGAGCGGAGAGGATCAATTTTAATATAAGGTTAAAATTAATCCAATTTATTGTTAGACTGTTTAATGAAAATAAAAAAAAAATCAAGAAGAATGTAAAAACTAAATTTATTCATAAAAAATTTTATGACGAAATAATTTGTCAAAAAAAAAAATAAAGTTTTTACATTTTTACACAAAATTATTTATTCATAATAAGCAAAAAATTAAGAAAAAAAAATTAATAATTTTATTAGGCATCTCGACGGACTGTAAATTTTATTTTTCTTATTTTATTTTTTATTTCATAAATAATTTAAAATTAATATGGGAAACCAAGTATGTGTAGGCTTATAAGAGTAATTTTTAACAGATATTGGGAACACCAATACCCATTCTAATTCTGGCTACTTTCGAGAACTTAATTAATAAAGATTATTTTTAAAAAAAAATTTATTGCAGTATAATTTGCGTGTAAATAATTAGACCCGGTGTTGCTTATTAACTTTATTTACCCTTCTTAAATTTGAACTGCGATGAATTGTTCTCCTGCAGCATTTCATATTCTTCTTCACATTCCCGGCTATTTTACATAAATTTTTAAAAATTTAAAATTATGTCGAAAATTTTGGTTATTTTTTTCTTGCATTTTTGTATACAAAATGTATAAAAATTATGACATTCTCATGAAGAAAAAATTTTTTAATAAATTCTTTTTTTTTGTATAATATTTTTGTTTGCTCCTTATACCTAACATCATCTGTTTTTTTTTAAAGCAATGGCATAAAAAATAAATAAAATTTAAGTAGCAATATTCGAAATTGGAAAGTAAATATTCTTTATAGGAGCACATACCTATAAAAATATTTTAAAATTATTAACATTGTATATGACAGGAAAAAAAATTACAATGCGTATATGATAAAAAGAATAAAAAATTTGTCCAAAAATGGCGATTTCAAAAACAATGTTGCAAGACTTGTTTTAAGTGCTTTAAAAAATTTTATTTCGACTCGAAATACAAATGATTTTCTAAAGGAAAAACATGACGATATTGGTTTGATATTCTGTAATATTAACATTAGTATAATAATGTTTGTTTAGCCCACAGGCCGAATATTGATTGATTTTGAATTATTTTAACAAACAATTTAAATATAAGACATTTAATTATTAATATTATTTGTCAAATATTATACACTACAAATAATAACATTAATAAAAACGTAAATTTAAAAATTTTTAAAAAAATAAATTCTATAAGATGAAATTAATATTTGAATTGAATACCCCGTTTTTTGTTTAATAAAGGACATTGAACAGAACCAAGAAGAAATAGAGGATCTCCGGAAATGACAACAATTATTTTAAATACTAAATCAGTATTCTACATTAAGAATTATTTCTTATAATTAAATTAAATTATTTATTCATTTTTGTTAACAATATTCATAATTGAAATTCTCGCCTGAAGATATGCAAATTAAGTTTATATTTTTATGAATTATTATGGATTTTTAATTTAATTGTGGAAATTAATTATTTATTGCCATTTCGATGATAACTAATGGAAAATTTTTGATTTTTTAATTAGCTTGAATAAATTTATTTATTTTATAAATAGTACCCAAAATATTTTAATTTTCTGTTCGCCAAGGATTCATGAAATTTTAAATTATAATTATTAGTTGTCAGTTGAATAATTTAGCTGTAATATTTTTTTGATAATAATTATCTACAGAATAAATATTATATTTAATTTTCCAAACATATAAAATAAATATAATAATTAAGTTTAAAGTACACTTGAATTTTGTTATACCACAAAATAGAATCAATTTAAAATTTTTCAATATTGAAATATGAGTAATATAGCTATGAAAATTTTATACAAATGAAGTGGTGTTTAATAATATTTTAAGCACTTATGTGTGAAATGCGGAAATTTTCATGAAATTATCATTCAAAAAAATTAATAGCTAAATAAAATAATGAATAGCTAAATTAAAATAATTTCAATTTTGAAAAAAAAATTTAAATTCGAGTGTTAGCAATATTTTTGTTCTATTTTTTAAAATTGTGTTTGAACCATCAGTAATTCAGAGATTAGAAATTTAATTTATAGAATTCGACATGGAAAAAATATTAGAGCCTGATCGTCTATTATGTTATTTTACTCTCCCAGTGAGAAAATAGTGAGTAACTATCATAATATTTGTATAATGTAAATTTCTAGTATGAGAAGAATTATTCCGTAATGTGTATCTTGTGTTTTTCTAAAATATACATATATACAAAATTTATTCACTTTGCTTTTGAAAACGAGACGTTTTCTCGACAATTTCAGAAAAAATGCAAAACCCCAATTAAAAGAATACGTAATCTTATTGGAAAAATGAAATATCTATTACGAAAACGGAGAATTTGTTTGAAAGTAAATAAAAAGTGGGATTAAAATTAATGACACGCAAAAGCATGATTTATGCTAGTAAACGAGCCATATAAAATAATTGAATTCAAAGCAGGCTATCATATGCTTTTTCTTAAGTTCTTATATAGAATTATCTGAAAAGCGTAAACTTATATACTGGTAGCTCATTTTAACCTATATTGAGAAATATTTCAATTTCAATAAAAATCTAATAAAAATTAACGTAAATTTAAAAATAGCACTTTACCCACATTACCCTCAGTTTAGAAAATTACATGAAAATGTAATGGTAAATAATTTGTGTTTCATTGCTATTTTTGAATTTTTAAAAATTTATTTTTATCTCCAATAATTTTAAAACATTAAGTATAGAATATTTTTAAGTATATTTATAAAATGACTATGTAAATTATGTCCACATTTTAAGACTTGAGTTCAAGATTTGAATATTTATTAAAATATTTATTTGAAATTGATTGAAATCTTCCTGTCTGATGATGACTATGATG